GAGTGGTCGGAGAGGAGACACAGGCCTGTGAGCTCGACCACCTCAAACCTTTGCAAGCAGCATTTCTCACTCAAGGGCACGCCAGCGGCTGGTGGGGAGAAAGGTGGGGCCGGCCAGCTCCAACCCTCACCGGGCTGCACAGCCCCTGCTCTGCCCTGCTCTGCTCTGCCTAAGGTCCGTTCCCGGAGCACCATACCTGTGTCTGGGGGCCGGTGAGTGCGACCTCATCAGGGCAGCAGAAAGCCTGCCACCAGCCCCACTGGGCAACCAAGAACTCCTTCCATGGCCACCCGCCCTGCCACCAGCCACCCTGGGCAACCAAGAACTCCTTCCATGGCCGCCCGCCCTGCCACCAGCTGCCCTCTGAGCTCAGGCCCCTGACCTCAGCCACCATGAAGCCAATATGAACTATTTCTGGATCAGGCCCTGGGCCTTAGACGAAAGCTTGGCTGGAGGAACTCCATCTGAGACTGGGCTCCTGGCCCCATCCACATGGCACCCGGCTCTCCACAGTTTAGGCCTCTCTGCTCCTGCCCCACCCATTTTCTCCTTCCATTGTTTTTGTCTTGTCGTTCTTTTCCTCCCTTTGTTTTTAAAAAAATCCCTCCTGGTCTTGGGGAGGAGACATGCCAGACAAGGTGCGATGTAGCAACGATGAAAAATACAACTTTCCCTAGTTACTAAATTCTTCCTCCCCCACCACTATCATGATCCGAATTCTACCTTGCAAGTCTGGCTAGACCAGAGGATGTACACTGGTACAGATAGGAACTGGAAACGCAGGGAATCCAGGGCGGATGATCCCTTCAGGACCAGTGGTGTGAGTGGCAATACTGGGAGCGTAGAGGGAGAGTGGGTTGGAAAGAGGGAACCGATTACAAGGATCTATATGTGACCTCCTCCTTGGGGGACAGACAACAGAAAAGTGGGTGAAGGGAGACGTCGGACAGGGCAAAATATGACCAAATGATAATTTATAAATTATCACGGGCTCATGAGGGAGGAGGGAGCGGGGAGGGAGGGGAAACAATGAGGACCAGATGCTGGGGGCTTAAGTGGAGAGCAAATGTTTTGAGAATGATGAGGGCAATGAAGGTACAAATGTGCTTTACACAATTGATGTGAGCATGGATTGTGATAAAAGTCGTATGAGCCCCTAATAAGAATTTTTAAAAAATCCCTTTCTCTGCTTCCCTTTTCAGTTCTGTGCCTCTTCTTTTCCCATTTAAAAAAAAAAGGTAACAGGAATTTCCCTTGAAGCTTTGGAAGAATCTTCACATATTGTACATAGCTGATAGGCTGTATCCTGTGAGGAGCCATGGTAGCACAGTGGTTAGAGCACTCTGCTATTAAACAGAAGGTTGGCGGTTCAAACCCAGAAGCCACCTCGTGGTAGCACATTGGGGGAGTCTTGTGGGGGGCAGTTAGGCTCCTCAGAGTGGTCCCGAGTAGGCAACCATGTACACAACAGAACAAAGCGCTTGAACACTTCCCAGCCCTGTGCCACCCTCACAGTGCTCGCTGGAGCCCACTGCTGCAGCCACGTCAGGCCGTCTTGACAGTTTTCCACGTTGACATGGACCCTCTCCTGATAACATTCTCAAAGAGCCTGGATGAATCTGCTCCATCCATTTTCACTTCTAAGGTGCAGTCTGGCTGAACTTCTTCCAACACACGATTTGTCTGTTCCTTGGGCCGTCCTGGTGTGTTCGTATGCTTTGTCCACACCCTAATTCCAAGGCATTCTTCTTCCGTCTTCCTTGTTCATTGTCCTTCCAGCGTGGGAATGCGCAACTCAATGTAAAATACCATGGTTTGGGACCTTTATGCACCTTAGTCCTCAAAGGAAAATTTCTTTGCTTTTTAACCCTTTGAAGAGGTCATTTGCCGTAGACTTGCCCAATGCCGTCTGTTTCCATCAATAGTCACAGCCTTGGGAACCCAGTGGGGACGCTCACCCCGGCCTCTAGGTGACTGAGTCCGAGTAGACTGGCAGTGGTGGCTTTGGTAGGCGTGTGGCATGGTGTTGTATTCCACATACTGGGTGGGGGCGGGGGACTGCATAGGTGTGTGCTACGTTCGTGTAATGTGCATACTGTCCCCCAGGGCCCAGACACGAAACAGACTACTTCAGTCGGGGCATCAGTATCCATCCGCCATTGTTAGAAAGTGCCACAAAATGGGTGACTTCTAAGAACAGGAACGCATTATTTCCCAGTTCTGGAGTTGGATCCTGAATTCACATTTGCTCTGACAGCTCTGGGGGTAGACCCTTCTCTGTCCTGCGAGGGGCAAATTTGCATAGGGCCTCTCAGAGAGGCCCAGTGCCAGAGGAGGGAGACTGGTCTCTGGCAGTGAGGCAGGGGCTCCATCCACCTAGGCTGGGCTAGGGACCAGGACCCCCTGCTCAGAGACCTGTCCAGTTCCTTCCCTATCATCCGCTAGAGCTAAAAGGACCACGCACTGGGTCAGTCTGGGGAGACTCCCAGCACGCCCGGAGAACGTAGGAAAGAGGACTGGGGGTGCAGGGAGCAAGTGACCTGGTTACAGCGCCTCCAGCGAGTCTGGAACCCCCTCCTCAGAATTCATGGGCAAAGTAGCCATTTGCCCAACACCCCTGTAAACTCCATGGACTTACTGGGGTTGCTTGTATGGGGAGAAGGGCAGGTACTGGGGAGCTGAGGCTGTGTCCCCCTGCTCCACGTGTCCCCACTGCTTCTCCGGATATGCTGGGGTCAGCACATCCCTCCTGCACCCTCCTTCCAGGGCGGGCAGCACCCTCACCAGCCGCAGCCTTCATTGGCACTCGTGCACCCTGTTCTGCAAGAACTCAGGCCACACTGCCACCCAGCAGGTACCTGTGCGCCCCCCCCAAGCAGCCTTCTTCCCAGGTGAAATTCTGGGGCACCTTCACTTCATCGCTCTCCCATGCCTCGTGGTGGAGAGCAAGAACAACTATCTGTCTGGGACGGAGGGCCCTGGGCAGGATCCTCAGGGCAAAGGGGCTGGGCAGTGGAGCAGGGAGGAGGAAGTCTGGGCAGGCCCCAAGGAGTCAGCAGTGCTCACAGGTCGCCCGTCCTGCCTTCTATCTAGAGCTGCCGTACAGAGAATGGACCTTTGTTTTCTCTAGTTTGAGGACTGGAAGTTGGAATTCAGGGCATTTTCCACGAACTGTGATGTGGAGACAGGGGCGTGGAGGTCTGTTGTACATCTGGTATTGCGTGCTGGCAGCTCGGACCTGTCTCCGTTTTTCTGCTTGGCAGATTGGCCTGCCCTGTGCCAAGCCCTGGGCAGGAAGAAGGAGTGTGCGGCAGCTACTTCCTGCTTCTAAGACGGGCAGGCTGTTGAGGGTACTTCTACTTGTGCTATGTGGGGTACATCCGAGTAAAAGCCGCAGCTCGTCCAGAGTGGCCTGTGATCCTCCCGCAGGACTGGCCTAGACGCCCAGGTGTGTGGGGACCCCGCCCTGGTGTGGCCCCTTCATGGTCCCCACAGCCCCTGCGGCTTGAAGGAGGGAAGCAGGGGTGGGAGGCGAGGCACTTTAAGGACAGTCAATAACTTCCCTGCGGCCAGTCCGTTCCCACACACAGCGACCCTGCCTTGCACTTGACTTTTATAGAATAAGCACACAGGTAGTACTTACCACTTACTTGCACTGCACTGACACCACGGGCTAAGCGTCGGCCGTCGGCCGGCTGCCAACCGAGTGGGAGGCGGGAGAGCGGAGAACGGAGGCTCTCCTCGGGGCACCAATATGTCAGGGCACCACTCTGCGCAGCTCTGCCCAGCCCATAGGGCCACTGTGCATGCCACCCACGGGCGGCCGTGGGTTTGGGTGTCAGTCCCCTCGGCTTCCTCATGTGAGAGACGCCGAGATGGCCGACAGAAGCCAAGGCGGCCAGGAGCCGTTGCTGCGGGAAGGGGCTGGACCCACCGTCCTGTTCTGGAGTCACCCCACAGCCACCCTCAGCTGTCTGGGAGAGTGCGGCACAGGAGCCCCTCTGCAGTCGGGGACCCCCTGCACACCTAGTCAGGATGGAGGCAGGGCTGGGAGGGAGCCGTGCGTGGGGAGGCCTGGGCCCCGGCAGGTCTTGGAGTAGGGGTCCCCAACCCCACCCCACGAGGCCCTGCCAGCTGCACACGGGGGCGAAGGGCGGGCCCATTTTGCAGATGGGAATGCCGGCACAGAGGCCTCAGGCAGACCCAGCCCATCAGCTCGCTCCCACTAGGGACAGTGAGCCCTGCCCCCAAACCCTGCCCTCACTGGCTGCCCAGCAAGCCCCGCCCCACACCCAGCACCCCTTGGACGACACAGGAAGCACTTCCAGTCCGCTGCGCCATACCTGAAGCCTAGCTCACCAGGAGCCGGAGGCCCAGTGATCTGGCTGGGTGGTTTGTCCAGAGCTCAGGCCCCGGGGACCGGCTGCAGGCAGCTGGGGCGGGCAGCAGGCACCGAGCGGCCCTCGCAGCTCCAGCTTAGCAGGGGCCTTACTGCCAGATCATGGACTTAGTGGGAACCCGGCTGCTAGGAAAGTCCAGGGGCTTCCAGGAAGCGTCCTCAGTCCCTCAGGCCACCAGACCCATGGGGACTGGGCTGCCAGGAAGCCGCTGTTCCCTTGGGCAGGTGAGTCTGGGGGACATGATCTTCCAGCACATACTCGGCCCAGACCTGAAGGTGGACACCCCATGTGACAAGTGACAAGGCCTGGGGACCCAGGGCCAAGTCAGCTGGCCGGCCACAAAGTCACTAGCCCCCAGGTGCCTTTGCCCTAGGCCTCAGTGCCCCCACTGAGAAGTCCCACTGGAGAAGGGCGGGGGGGCCTGGCACCGCCTTGCTTCAGGGCCTATTTGGCCATCTCCAGACCCACTCGTGCCCCTCAGGCCTCACACCTCCTGTGTAGTTCACACTCTGAGCCTGTCCCCCAGACCTCCTGCCCCCCCCACAGTTCACAATAAGAGCCATGCCCCTCTAGCTCCCTGTGCAATTCACACGAACCAGGAAAAGTACAGGAAATGTTCTATTCAAGAGAAACCAAACAACAAAGTGGAGAAATAAAATCTGTGTCTTATCACTCGCGGTCTGTCCACTGTCTACTGTGAAGTTTCTCAGGCTGGTGGCCGCACAAGGTCAAAGGCCCAGACCCCAGTGCGGAACCCGTTGGCCTCAGGGCCACCATGGGGCCAAGAGGCTCCTTCACAGCCGGGGCCTCAAGCTGCAGGCACAGGGAGGGCTTGCAGGCATCCGGCCGTGCCAGCCATCCCTTGGGGGCTGTCACCCAAGGCGGGGCTGGGGTGGGCGGTGGGTTGCTGTCACCGAGGCGGCAGCTCCCTCCCACTCGGAGCTCTCTCTGCAGAGGCGGCCCGGCCGTCTGGCAAAGAAGAGGTGGCCCGGGCGTCTGGTGACCAAGGGCGGGCCCTCCCTGCCCACGGGTCCTCGTGCGTCTGCTGGTGCTCGGACAGCTCGGAGTGGCGCCGGAAGGTGCTGCTACACTGAGGGCACTGGAAGGGCTGCTCACCCGTGTGGATGCGCTCATGGCGGAAGACATCGGAGGGCCAGCTGAAGGCCTTGCCACAGTAGAGGCAGCTGGGCTTGGGTTTGCCCTTTCGGGGGCCGCCGGCGTGCTGGCGCTGGTGCAGCAGCAGGCTCCTGCGCTGCGGGAAGCCACGCATGCATTGGCTGCAGTGGTACACCTTCGCTCCAGGCCTGCGGCCTGAGGGCCTGGCTGGCAGCCAGCCAATGACCGGGCCGGACACCAGCACCTCACCAGGCTCCAGCGCGGGCTGGGCGGTCCCGCCAGTGGCAGGCGGGTTGTAGTGGGCTGCACTAGGGGCCTCCTCCACGGGGGGATGCCGGTGGGCTCGCCGGTGGGTCCGCCGGTGGGTAGTCAGGTCGATGTTCAGGCGGAAGCTCTGACCACAGTCGGGGCAGGGGAAGGCCCGTTCCTGCTGGCGGCTGCGGAGAACAAGCCACGACTCCCCCGCGGCCTCGGGCCTCTCCCTGGGCACAGGCTGGCCACCTTGCAGCTGGCTGGTGCCTGTCGCTCTGTCCCCAGGCTCTTGGGGAACTTCACACTCAGTCTGACCCGGGGCCCCAAATCCAGAGAGCTGCTCCTGGGTCAGTTCTTCCTCAGACTGGGCTTCCATCTTGATCCAGCAGCCGCCACCTGATGGAAGACCACCACTGACCCATGAGTCTACAGAACCCCCACCTAAACCCGTCCACCTGCACCAGGCTCTGGCACCCACTCCTGCCTCCACTCCCACCCCTCACTGCCTCTCCAAAACGACTTGGTGACAAGTCCTTGTCAGCTAACCCTGCAAGTTATCACTTAGCTAAAGGCCATTCATGATGGGCTTCCGCAGGCCAAGCTAAAGATACCAGGGGACCAGGGAGCAGCGGTGGGGCCAGCAAGTCTGACCAGCTGGCCGGTTAGTGTTATCCAGACATAGCCATGACCACTCCCCCTGGCCCCCCCCACACACACCAGAGGTCCTTCAGACAGGTCTGGTGAAGAGAGCACCCACTTCCTGGGGAGGGGGCTGAGCTGGAGAGGGCAGGGGTGGTGGGCCACATGCTCACTTAAGACCTCTGACCACCAAAGTCTGCAGAAGGGCCCCCCCCCAACGACCAGTCCTACTGGGATGCTAGCCCCTGCAACCCCGCCCCTACCAAGCACCTGAAGGGCTGTTCTGTGTGCCTTTCTGAGCAGTGACCCCAACACCCTTTTCCTTGCTCTCCCAGCCCCATCCTCTGCTGTCCCCACCGGGGGTTCTCCCCCACCCCCACCCCATGTCATCCCCTTCCCCTTCCTCTCTGCTCTCCCAGGGTCCCTCCCTCTAGTCTCTCACTCCATCTCCAGCCCCTCCCATCTGCTCCACCACTGCCAGGACCCCATACCCACTCACAGTATGCCCATCCCCTTCTGTTACACATGCCTGGTGCTTTTTACCCACCCTGCCACTTCCGGGTCCTCAGGGTCACCTGACTGGTCCCATGTGAGTGCTTCCAGGAGAAGCAGCAGGCCTCGGCTTTCAGTCTATTCTGAGCCCAAGGCTCAGCTGGTTTCCCCACCCAAGAGGGCAGCTAGCAGCAGGAGTCCTGTCCTAAGGCCTCAATGGCAGTAGTGGCCCTGCTTGCCGAGGTCAGCCGGGTCCCCAAGGAAGCAGACAAGACCCTGCACTCTGAGTGCAGCCATACAGAGGGTCACTGTTGGCCTTGATCCTGGTGGCAGCACCTTCCCAGTCAGGTGCTGCGGCCCAAGCCCAGCTCAGGACTGTGTGCTGACCAAGGGAGCAGCAGGTGGGGGCACCCACTGCCAGGGCCCATCTCAGCTCCCCGGCTCTGAGACCCACTCACCTCCCTAAAGGGCTTCTGGAGCCACCCTTACTCACCTGGTCCCATGTCTTGGGGAGAGGAGGTGGACAACTCCCCACCAGAATCTTCATTGTGTTTGATCGAGGACAAGACACGGGTGTTGGCTGGGGACCCTGAAGGACAAAGTCCTGTTAGCCATTCCTGCCCAACCTCCCTAACAGACTATACTAGCTTCGGCCTGCACCAGCCAGCTGGGAGAAAGACCCATGGAGGCATCCCCCTGCCCCCATATGGGAAATGTGGCACAGACAGCTCAGCACCTGAAGGGGGGGGGGGCTGGAGGCCCAGCTGGGGCAATGACAAGGACTGAGAAGGAACAGGGAGGCTGCCTCCCTTCTGAGGGCCCTACTGCCTACTGCAGGACGCCTGCTCAAGTTCTCTCCACCTTGGGGCTCATAACCCAGAGGAGGCGGCACCAGTTACCAAGAGCAAGGGATGCCCAGCCAGCAGGGGCCAGGCTGCAGAGTGCTCAGGCCAGGGACAGAACAGACTCTCCCAATTGTGGGCAGTGTGCTCTGAGTGGTGGTGGTGGTGGTGGAGTTGGTTCTGACCCAGAGTGACCCCAGGTACAACAAAAGGAAACACTGCATGGTCCTGTCCCATCCTCCCCCATTCCTACTCCTGAGCCACGGACGCAGTCAGGTGTCCAGCCGTATCGTCTAGGGCCTTCCTCGTTCATCGCCCCTCCACTGTACCAAATACGTCTTTCTCAAGGGTCAGTCTCTCCTGACATGTCCAACATATGTTAAGACAGTCTTGCCATCCTTGCCCCTAAGGAGCATCTGGCCTTGCTTTGTCCAATCCATACTGGGTCCTGTCGGGAGTCCAGGGTACTGTCAACACCCTTCTCCAGCACAATTCAAATACACAGACTCTCCTGGTCTTAATATTCTATGTCAAACTCACATACACATGCACTGGAGAAAACCATGGTTGGGGTCAGGTGACTTAGTCCTCAAAGGAACACCCTTGCTCTTCTATACTCTACAACGAGGTCTCGTACAGGAGACTTGCCTAATAATGCAATATGTCTTTTGATTTCTTGGCTGCTGCTTCCATGAACATTGATTGTGGATACAAATTACGACAAAATTCTTGACAATTTCAACCTTTTTTCCCCATTTAACATGATGTTACTCAATTGGCCCAGTGGTGAGGATTCTGGTCTTCCTTCCATTGAGTTGTAACTCATGCTGAAGCCTGCAGTCCTTGATCTTCATCAGCAAGTGCTTCAAGTCCTCATTTTCAGCAAGCAAGGCTGTGATCTGCATACTGCAGGTTAATAAGGCCCCCTCTGATACTGGTGCCCCATTCTTACAATCCAGCTTCTCTGATGATTTGCTCAGCATGCAGCTTGAACAAGTATGGTGACAGGGTACAACCCTGACTCACACCTTCCCTGAGTTTAAACCATATAGTACTCCCTAATTCTGTTCACACAGCTGCCTTCTAATCCATATACGAGTTCCAAATGAGCACAATGAAGGGTTCTGGAATTCCCATTCTTCTCAAGGTTATCCACAATTTACTATGTCCACACAATCGAATGCCTTTGCACAGTCAATGAAACACAAGTATCTTTCTGGTATTCTCTGCTTAAAGCCAAGATCCATCTGACATCAGCAATGATATTCCTTGTTACACGTCCTCTTCTGAATCCGGTCTGAACTTTTGGCAGTTCCCTGTAAATGTACTGCTGCAACTGTTGTGGGATGATCTTCCGCAAAATTTTACCTGCATGTGATATAATTGGTATTGTTCTAAAGTTTGACCATTCTGCTGGGTCACCGTTCTTTGGGATGGGCACAGATAAGGATCTCTTGCAGCCAGTTGGCCAATTAGTTGTCTTCCAAATTTCCTGGCATAGACCAGTGAGTGCTTCCAGTGCTTCATCATCTTGTTGAAACATTTCATTGGTGTTCCATCAATCCCTGCAGCCTTGTTTCTGACTAATGCTTTCAGTGCAGCTTGAACCTCTTGCGTCAGCACCATTGGTTCTTGCTCTTATGCTACCCCTGAAATGCTGGAATGTCGACTAGTTCTTTTTGGTATAGTCCCTCTGTGTGTTCTGTCCATCTTCTCGTGATGGTTCCTGCGTCAAAATTCTAACTCCTGGCTTGAGTTTTTGAGCTGCTTCAGCTATGCTGCAAGTTCTTCCCTTTTGGAGTCCTTGCATATTTAGTTATACATCCTGGCTTTGGCTTCCCGAGCTGCCCTTGAGATTCTCTAGTCAGCTCCTTGATGGCATCCTTTCTTCCCTTTGCTCTAGCCGCCCTCTGGGTAGGTGCCCTTTTGTGAAAGGATGGAGAAGAACTGCCTGCGCGTTACATGGGATCAAAGCCAGAGTCAGCCTTCAGAAAGAGAACATTTCCCAAGGAACCACAATCGCAGGACCCTGCCGAGGGTGTCACCATGGAGGGCGTGACCCAGGCTAGCCTGGTGAGCTGTGGTACTATGCTGGGGGTATGACCCGTGACAGGAGTGTCAATGTGCCAGGTGGGTGACCTGTGCAAAGCCTGTGAGCTGTGATACTGTGGGGGCCTATGAGCCATGCCAGATGTGTGACCCATGTCGCCTCCATGTATTGTGGCAATCCTACCAGCTGAGGTCAGCATGAGGCCCTGGGTGGGCCTGAGGAGCACAGGGTGCAAGAGCCCTACCCACCCTGCCCTCCCAAGGAGCCGGCAGACACTGAGCCCCAGCTCTCACTTGGCCCCTTGCTATCTCAGACCGGAAGACCTGCACCTCCACCTGCAACTGCCAGCGGCCCCCACTCACCGATACCAGGCCCAGGTGGTGCGTCTCGAGCTTCCAAGGCCTCTGCTGCTCCCATCTCTTCCTGGGCTGGATTGGCGGGGCCAGGAAGGAGGCCTGGGGAGGCAGACCGGGGACACTGAGGACCACCTGGAGGGAAGCCTGGGATTCCCACCAGCCAATCCTCTGGGGTCGTGGAGTCTGGGGCCCTGGCCCAAGCACAAAGTGACAGGTTCATGAGACCACAGTGATGGGGTCCTGACCCGAAGCCTCATGTCTTAGGAGTTCCAGCAGGCAAGTCGCCACACAGCAGGGTCTCCTGGCTCAGAACTGCGGGGCCCTCGCCTGACCCAGCAGGCAGGTCCTGACCAGCAGTTCTGAGCGGGGCCCAGGATGTCCATGCCCTACAAAAGCACGCTGGGTCAAAAGAAGAGCAAGTCGTCCAGAGTAAGATGTGCAAACAGCCCTTTCACATGTGAAAAGAGTCAGCCACACTCAGAGTAGAAGGGTACTGGCGACATCCCCGCTGTACTGTTCTGCACGACCTGGGCCGGCAGAGGCCCCGCTCACCCACAGCAGTGCCCTCTGTGATCTCCTGCAAGATTGCAGCCACTTGCCTACTTACCCGCCGACTACACAGGCTGGCACAACATGCAGTAACTTGTGTGCAACCTGCCCAGTGCAGTGTTAGGGCACCAGCAACATCCTGGTATGAACGCCGATGGCCAGCAGAGGGGGCTGGCTAGATGCCTGGCACCCCATGCCCTGGAGCACTCGGCATGAAGTAGGCCTTCTTCCCGACTCGGTGCACTACCCCACACTGGGTCATGTGGGGCAAAGGGGCGTGTGCAAACACACCTAGTGTTTACTTAGGTTGAAAACAAAAAACCCACCACCTCAGAAAGAACAATAAAATTTAATAAAAATAGCTAACTGAAGAGGGCGAGCCCTGGTGCATCATGGTTACACATCGGGCTGCTCACCAGTCGGCAGTTTGAACCAGCAGCCACTCTCCATCAGGGGTACTGTCCCGGACACTCAGAGGGGCAGCTCTACCCTGTCCTACAGGATAGCTGTGATCCGTACTGACTCGACAGCAGTGAGTTTTGAGAGGAAAAAGAGTCAAGGATGGAAATGAAATAGCTGACAAAATATGTGAACATATTCAACCATTCAAATCAGAAAGAGAGATTTTTTTAAAGATTTAAAAATACACTGAAGCAAACGAACTTCCTCGCACCAGGTTGGTGGCGATGGTCCCCTCGCTGACTTTACCAGGCATCATTCTGTGGGCAGGTACTGAGCAAAGTAATAGCTCAGGGGAGTCACACATGGGGAGACACGTGCCTAACGTCAGTATCCGGCAGAAGGCAGGCGCAGAACTGCAGAGAGATTTCAGGCCACTGGTGGCACTAGCCATCCAAAAACCCAATCCTCCCACGCCAGCAACAAAGAAAGCGGCCAGGAGAGTGAGCCAATGCAGTCAAGAGCCCCAAGAAAGTTGGTGAAGGTCGGGAGCAGCGAGCTGCAAAAAGAAGTCAGATCACATCCTCAACAGTCAGAAAATCGCTCGATCCGGTGTCCTACTTTTACCCCCTCCCTCTTCCCCGCCTGGCAATCAGGTGGCTCGCACACACTTGTGTGCAGTCAGAGTTCTGCTCCCAGGGACTGCCCTTGCCCTGGACTGACCGGTGCGTGAGTGCCAGCGAGAGCAGAGGCAGGAAGGGCTGGAGCCTCGGCCTGGCCTGACCGGGAGCTCTCACAGGACGAGGAGGAAGCAGAGCGGGCAAAGGGTGATCCCATGTACGAGTTCCTCGCAGAAACAAATGCTTTTGAAACTGAGGAAGCTAACACATGATAATGGTTTCTAAAGTCCAGGATTCATCGAAAAATAACAAGGGATAAAAAGGACTGGTAACACGCTGATATCAAGGGCTCAAGTAGAAAGCAAATGTTTTGAGAATGATGATGGCAACAAATGTACAAATGTGCTTGACTCAATGGATTGATGTATGGATTGTGGTAAGAATTGTACAAGCCCCCAATAAAATGATTTTTAAAAATTTAAGAAAGAAAAAAAAAGAACTAATAAACTTCAGTTAAAATGGAAGAAGAAAAAGGACTGATAATGATAGGCCATTCAAAAGAATAAGACACAAAGAGAGGAAAACACCTGCAGGGCCCATAATATAGACAGATTAGAAGGTTCTGAGACAGCAGTATTAAGCACCCTCAAAGCACTAAATGTTAAAGGAATCAGGAAAACAATACAATAATAAAGCAAGAATATAAACAAAGATACAAACCCTATAAAATGAAAATACTAGAGCTGGAAGATTTGGTAACTAAAATGAAAAATTCATCAAAAGAACAAAGTAACAGATTTGCGCTGGCAGATGACAGTACCAGTCAACTAGAGGACACGGTTATCAGAAGTATTGAGTCTGAAGAGCTACGGGAGAGAGAGATCAACACTATTTCAAAGTGTGACGAAGAAGCAAGATGGTGCCCTGCTGTCAGAACGAACAGCCACCTGGGGGTCTTAAAAGCTTGTCTTAAAACAAGCAGCCATCAAAATGAGGTATCAGCTAAACCCACATGGAAGAAGTCTATCAGCCTGTGTGATGCAAGAATTGTTAAGTACTAAAAGCCAAGAACAGAGGGGGGAATTGTATTAAGAGTTTAAATTCTGAGCACTTGTTTTGCCGAAATTCAAATTCCATTTGCAGAATCCTCACGGGGATGAAGCCTCCGTTGAAATCCTGTGAATCATTAACCAGGGATGTGAGCAGCCTCGCCTTCAGACGGAGTGCATCAGGAAGTTAATTAATGCATCTATTGCTAGGTTAAATTTTAACATCTTGTCACTTGTCAATTAAAATGTTGACCCATTTAAAATCGATTCTAGTTTTATCTGCTTCTTTTGGATTGAGGTTTTTGTGTTTTGTTATTATTAGTTTGGAGGTTTTTTGTGTGTTTTTTTTTTTAAATTATTTCCTTTATATGAAATCCAGGATAGGTAAATCTCGAGACAGCAACTACATTAGGTTTCTTAGGGTTGCAGCAGGGGATGCTGGAGGGAAATGAAGAGCTTATTAACAAGCTTAAGAGTATGAAAATGAAGAAAATGAAAATAAAAAGAAGAAAATGTTCTAAGATTGACTATGGTGATGATTGCACAACTCTCTTTAACATATTCAAACCACTGAATTGTACGCTAAGTGAATTATATGTTGATAAGACTGTTTTAAGAAAAACCCGCAAGCAAGCTAACAAATGTATCTTAGTAATTTGAGAAGAACAAAAAAATATTTGAAACACTAATGGCAGAAAACTTTCTACAGCTGACAAAAGACATAAACCTGAAAGTCCAAGCAGCTTAATAATCTCCTAGTAGGATAAACCCAAAATGATCCACAGCAGCACAGAGTAAAGCCAGTTTCTGAAAACCAGACAGGACATCTTGAAAGGCAGAGAGAAGCACTGTCACACACAGATGATCTTCCGTAAGATCAAGGCCAATTCCCGCCGAGACCGTGGGGGCCAGCAGGCAGTGAAACCAACGTGGCAAAAGGGCTCAAAAAAAGAACTGTCATGCGCTTGATGCAACTGATGTATGGATTGTTTTAAGAACTATACGAGCCCCCAATACAATTTTTTTTTTAACTTTTGGAAAAAAGAAAAAAATATCAACCAAAATACGACATCTGTTAACAAAATTGCTTCCGTGTTTCTTCTGACCCCACAAGGAGGCAGGCGTTCTTACACGTTAGTTAGTTAGTTAGTTAGTTAGTTAGTTAGTTAGTTAGCAGTTAGTTCTTATAAGAGCTAATGCTGCTTGCTGCACATGGATGAACTCCACTGCACAGCCTGAGCAAGCTGTCACCAAATCCAACAAGTAGACCTCGTCCCAATCGGGGATGTGATCTGCTTGGCTGGCTCCTTGCCAGGGCAGGGTTGTGGGTGCATTCTTTCATCCACACGGAATTGTAACTGAAGCAAGCCACAGAGCCGTGTTCTGACTGTCCTGGCTGACATTTCTCAAACACACTGTCACCTCGTCTGCCTCTGGTAACACTGCCCACAATCTTGGCTTCATATGGCGAAGACTCGAAAATTAAGAGGCCACAATCAGATGACAAGCCAGAAAAGTCAAACTACGGTGGGACATGACCAAACCCTCCTCTGAGGTAAACTAGCGGCCATCCAGCTCAGAAGCAACGAAGCTCACATGGAAGAAGCACACCAGCCTGTGTGACCAGGAGGTGTCGAAGGGATCAGGCATCAAAGAAAAGAATCATATCATTGTAAATGAGGGTGAATGCAGAATGGAGACCTGAGTTAGTTAATTGTGCCAGCCTGGCCGATAATCACATGTGGTGCTGGTTGAAAGGCGGAGGGATAAATGGGTGGTGAAG